TATATATAAACACAAATACACACATTCACGCACACGAACACACACAAACACACAAACACACATACACATACAAACACACACATACATACAAACACACCAACACACAAATACACACACAAACTCAAACACAAACACACACACACACACACACACACACACACACACACACACACACAAATAAACTCAAACTTTCATAACACACTAAACTGTGTGAGGTGAAGACGAATGTCTATGTGTTCACAGTGCCGTTTACTTTTGATCCTCAGCTATTTCTATCGTTGTAGTTGTAGTTGTTGTTATTGTTTTTGTTGTTGCTGTTGTTGCTTCAAATTAAATCAGAATTAAGAAAAAAAATGTACGCTGGCTTCTTTTTGGACAGACGTTTTAATTTGTTTGTTTGTTGTTGTTTATTTTTGTTCTCTTTTATGAGGTTGGTTTTTTTTGTTTTTTTGTTTTTTTACATTTTTTTCTATTATTTGCAAGAAGGCCGGGGACGGAGGGGGGGGGGGGGGTACTCATTGCATAGATAGGCCTGCATTTAATTCTAATAACAAACTTAAGTACATTAATTGGAGGATAATAAACTGAAAAGAATAAAAATGGATCCCTTTATAACTACATTCTATTTTTATTACTAATGCTTATATCATCATCATCATCATCATCATCATCATCATCATCATCATCATCATCATCATCATCATCATCACCATCATCATCACCAATCATTCATTATAAAAAAGTCGCTATTAATTTCATTGTTATCATTATTACCACTATCATTGTTATTTTATGATCGTGTGTTAAATCACTAGACCTTTTTTTCTCTCACAGTGTTATTCTCTTGAAGAAACTAAATAAGATAAGTTAAGATAAGATACAACTTTATTGTCCAGATCCTGGAACATTGGTTTGGTGTTTCACTCCGTACACACATACGCACACGCGCGCACACACTCACCCACCCACCAACACACACACACACACACACACCCACACACACACACACACACCCACCCACACACTCACCCACACACACACGCGTGCGCTCGCGGCCGCGCGCGCGTACAAACATGCACACACAAGCATAATATAGATGAACAGTAATATAAACAATAATAATTTTAAGCTAGATACATACTCAGTATGGTGACGTCGGTGGCCTAGTGGTTAGGCTCTCGGACTCGCAACCGTAAGGTCGTGGGTTCGAATCCCGTCAGGGGCCCGACGTTGTGTCCTTGGGAAAGGCACTTTACACTTATTTTCCTCACTTCACCTAGGTGGGAATGGGTACCCGGCTATAGACAGCGAAAGATCTTGTCAGTTTGTTAGTG